AATATTTCTAATATATACAGGGTTAAGAAATCTTAAGGATTTTACAATTACAACCTAAAATAGAAAATCTGCATATTACATAGAGTTTATAATTGCTTGATCTTGCTACTCCTTCAACAGAAGAATCCTTGTTAAAACTCAAACTTGAATCTTTAGCAATATATATATATATATATATATATATATATATATATATATATATATATATATATATATATATATATATATATATATATATATATATATATATATATATATATATATATATATATATATATATATATATATATATATATATATATATATATATATATATATATATATATATATATATATATATAGCTTTTCCAAAAACTAGTTGTTGAGAAGGTGACTTGATCAAGTGTCTTTGCTTTTGCTCCATAGTACAAAAGACGTTGAAGATGGATGCATAACAGATTCTGAACCCAATGTGTAACACGTTTAATCTTTGAGTCTTCAAGAGGTTTTTTACTAATAGAGTCGTTGGGAGCAGACATCCATAGAACGTACCAGCTTTTCTTGAGCCTTGCAATCTTAGTCAGAAAGTTGTAGACTCGAGCTGACAGGCTGATAAGACAATACATATTGCTTTCAGTAATACGGATAGTCCATAGCTTTATCACCAACTTTTAATGGTACCAGATGTTGATATACAATTACTAAGTGTAGAAACTCGTCTAAATTTTGAGGCCTTCAGTTCAGAGTCTTCGTTAAACCACACTAGCAATTTTTCTTCAGACTCTGCCACCATAAGCTAGCAATGAAGCAACTCTAAGTATGTATATGTAAAACAGATTCTAATTATTCATGTACAAGAACAAGAACCTGCATAAATAAAACACACATCAAATAAATCATTGTTCTTTTAATAATTTTGTTATCATCAAAACTAAAAGAGAATATGTCAAGAACAAATCTTGTTCAAACACGCACTGATGCAGTGAGGTAGGTCATTCTGTGTTGTGCCGCAATCTGAATGTTGCGGCTGGCAGCATTTTACCAAAAGAGATATTATTCTAGGAAGATAATTTTTATGGATCCACCTCACACTTGCATTATCACCAATCTGAAGCAGGATTATCATAAACTAAACTCTAAGATAATATGCCAAGAAATATTGCTTCTCATTAGCAATGATCCTTCATTAAAGGTGAGTACAATAATCTTCCATATCGTTACACGATATAATTATACTCCCTCATACAAAAAGGCATGGGAAATGATGACTAAGGTTGTTGAATGAGTATACGAAAATTAGGAAGATTTGTACAAAGAACTTCCACAATATTTGAGGGCACTTAAGTATCATGCTTTGAGAATTGTTGTAATTTTGGAGACATTTCTGACATTTACCCCAGATAGAACTTGTGTTAGTGGAAATAAAATATTTCATCAGCTCTTTTGGGTGCATTAACCATGCATCAAAGGTTTTGTGTTCTACAAACCTATTAGTAAAATTGATGGAACATGGTTGTATGGGAAATATAAAGGAACATTACTCATGGCAGCGACACAAGATGGAAAAAATAATATTTTTCCAGTTTCCTTCGCTATGGTTGAAGGTGAGACTGTTGGTGGCTGGATTTTCTTTCTCAAGAATCTTCGAATGCACGTTGCTCTGCAACCCAACCTATGTTTGATTTCAAATAGACATCCTTAATTTGAGAGTGCATACAATAACCTTGATAATGGTTGTCAAGATCCTCCTTCTATATATATGTCTACTGCATTAGACATATTTCACAAAACTTCAAGCGAGATATCAGAGAAATGACGCTTCAAAACAAAGTTGTGAATGCAAGGTATGTGTTAATAGAACCATCATACCAACACTACCACGAAAAGATAAGATTGACAAATGTGGATGAGTTAAGGTGGATCGATAATATTCTAGTGGAGAAATGGACCAGAGCATTTGACAATGGTCAACGATGAGACCATATCACAACAAATCTTATGGAATTCATGAACGCTGTCTTCAAAGGCATCATAGACATAATGATAATCGTGTTGGTAAGAGCAATAAAGTTTAGGTTAGGGTCATTGTTTGAGACTAGAGGTTCAAAATGGATTTCGGTGTTACAATCGAGTAGTTATTCAGTGAAAGTTGTACGAAATTTATTAAGGAGGAAACTGTCAAAGCTAACACACATGTGATTACAATGTTTGACCACCATAAAGGTTGGTTCAATGTACAGGAGTTGATGGACAATAATAAGAGGAGGTCAAGGGGATACTATCGGGTCAAACTAAATAGAGGTTGGTGCAATTGCGAAAAGTTTTAAGCATTATATATGTCTTGTTCCCATGTCAATGTGGCATGTTCATATGCTCGTCAGGACCCTTCCAACCAACTATCTATCTTTTACAAAGTCATAAATGTATTTAATGTGTATAGTAATAGCTTCCCGGTGGTAGAAAAGTAGGATTATTGGCATACATATCAAAAGGACATGGTTTGATATAACAAAAATATGTGAAGGAAGAAAAGGGTCGCCCTAACAGCACGCGCATTCGAACCAAAATGGATATAGCTAACAAAATGGTATGATCATGTGGTACATGTCGTCAGTCCGGAAACAATTGTAAAAATTGTCCCAATGCTAGAGCAAGCTCCGCAACATAATTATTGTATGCATTCTTGATATGTAATTTATTTTTATAACCATTAAATTTCATAATGAAAATAACTTTCAGTTACAACAAAACGAAAACAAGTACAACAGAAAACAACAATACGTAGAACAAATAAAAGGACTTAATACTGTAACATATCTAAGAGATTAAAACCATTAAAGCAATATCATCTTGTCCAAAAATCATATCACGGACATCAGTGCCAGATTTAATTGACTCCTAAAACCGAGTTGATTCGTTATTCTCATTTGCACTGTTGAACACCAAAACAAGCTTATTAATTCTTCTAATTTTTTTACCGTCTTGAATCTCTCCATCTTACTAACAAATCAAGATTCTTTCAAGATGCTTGAAAGCTTAAGTGTTCCAAATTTGAATCTTCATTGGAGGGAATTGAATAACAAACATAAGCATCTCTTTTAATAATCATATTACAAATTTATAGCGCATTGGTAGTACATGTGTTATGGATTGTAACGCCTATGTGCAATCTTAAATCTATGATCAAGTAGTAATAACGCATCCTCTTTAATACAATTTAATTTGATTTAAATCATAGATATTTTAGTTAATAATGAAAAATATTGTATTTAAATTGAAAATGTTGGTTGTTTAATAACAAAATAAATACATAGGATATTAGTGAGACTCGACTTTAAATGCAATGTACTCTATTCTAGTATCAACTATATCTTCAGAATTTTACTATTTAAGGTGTATTTAAAAGAGCAAATTTTAAAGATTATGACATCATATATTTTTTATAACACAATACTACTAGCAAAGTATGTAATAATTATAGCTAAAATAAAACAATAATAGAATATATGACAGGGGTATAAATGTAACTTAGTATTGAAAGGATCATATTCCTAGTGGGCCCGACCAGGTCACTTTCATTTCTCAAAATCAGTGGGCTCCGTGATGTGGTTCGACTCATCATGTCCCAATACGGTGTACACGTGGTCCTCTATCTAACGGTCCAAATCTCATAGAATTATTATTAATCAATGACAACGACCCCAAGTGTCATATCGACATTCCTAATAAAAAAAATAATAATCATAATCATAATCATTTCATAATAAAGAAATATATTACCATATATAACTACATAAGTTTGAATCATACTTGTAATAAAATATACATGAATTGGAGATAAAGGTACTGTGCTTGAAGATTGTAGTAGATTATGTATTATTAGTATAACATTTTATGTAACCTATATGAATGAGTTTAATACGCAAAGATTTTATTTAAATATTAAATATCATGATTAACAATTAAATTATTATTTTACAGAAAGATGACTCCTACAGTTAATTATTTAATCTATTTATAATTAATATACCGAACTTTCCACTTAATTTTTTACCACAAAAATCACATAGCTTATATTTAACTAATGTTTAATATTTTATATTTGGGTATCTCAATAATTGAAAATGCCAAAATTTTCCTCAAGAATCTGGCCCACTGACAAGCGACCTTGATATATTTATTATTATTTTATTATTTTATTATATCAAAGGTTATCACAAGAAAGGAATCACTTTAAACAATAAGCAAATCAAATCATAGTATTATTTTTAAACCACTTGTTTTAATTAAATTAAATAATCAAAAAGGTTTCATCAGCCTTCAATTTTTTTTTCTCCATCCTAAATTTAAATGAATTCAACTATTTTTCTTTATAGTTTAAATTTAAATAAATAAGATATCACATATGGTTTTATTTTTTCAAAATAAATAAGTAAATATTATAAACATATTTTTTTAATGATTTAAGGGTCAAAATTTCATTTTTTTCTTAAAATGAATAAATAAGATATCCTAGTTAGACTATATGTCATAAAAAAAACTAATAAAGAAAAAGTACTCCTACTATTTTAGAATGATAGTTATTTAAATTAATCAACCTTATTAATATATTATAAGAAGTATAAAAAATAATAATTAATATAAACAATTAAAAAATAGTCATTGTTTTTATATTTAAAAATGAGAATGAAAGATATTTTAAAATAAATTTGATTTATTAAAATGATAGTCATTTTTAAAATAAAGTATGTTATTAAGAAAAACAATAAGAATATAATTAAAAATAAAAAAATGAAAGTTGAAATAAAATAATAATTGTTGGGTATTTCTGAAGCAATGATGATCCACAAAATTCCAAACAAAACCAAGGGTTTAGCCCAACTACTCCATGAAAATTAATATTAAGACTCTTAGTATAACTTTATACTTTAACCTTAGTCTTATAAAGACACCCACTACTCTCCATTCCCTTGTTCAACACACAACACAACAACCCATCTTCTCTGTTCTCTTCTCCGATCATGTTGAGGAAAAGACCCTCTCCAATGATCGGAAAATTATCAGAACTCTTGGTTTCTGGCCACCGTATCATGGACACCACCGGAAGTCCAAGAGGTCCATTAGACACAAAGATGCCACCATCACCAAGAGGTTTAAAAAACTACGACCTTAGTAGCGTTGGTCTCAAGATCGTTGCAGCTCTCGACAACAACAAAACATGTGATGTTTTGCCTAAACACGCTGTTTGTACATCGAATTTGAATCGATCAAGACCCATCCAAATTCAATCTGTGAAAAGCCCAGACGGGTTGCAAATGGATTATTCAAGTATGGAAGAAGATGAAGAATACACATATGTCACATGCCATGTACCTAATAAAACCTTCACTAAGGTTTATTACGACGGTGAAGTTCGGAGACAACAAGGTTACAACAACAATAACAACAACGTTGTCGTGAGAACATCCGAACCGGAACCATTATTTCCAACACCAAATTTTCTTAATTCATGTCACTTATGCGGAAAGAATCTACATGGAAAAGACATATACATGTATAGGTATTATTGACTAATCTAATTTAAATGTTTTTTTTCACTGGATTCTTTTTTGTTTGATTATTTGTTTTTAATTGTTTTTAATTGTTTTGTTGCAGAGGAGAGAAAGGATTTTGTAGCACAGAGTGTCGTTCGAGTCAAATAATGATGGATGAACGAAAAGAGAGATGTGGTTCAGAAGCTGTGGAATTGTCGAGTTCACCATACACAAGGGGTCAAATATTTTCAACTGGAATTCTTGCGGTTTAACTATTGATTAATTAGTATCTAAATCTGGATTAAGAAAATGGATAATTATCCAGAGATTGATACTGTTAAGTAAATAATAATAATATATACGGCTATACTATGGTTAACTGTATGGAATATTTATATGAGAATTAAGATAGATATAGCTCGATCGTAACCAAAACGAAATTTTTGATGAGAAATAATGAGAGAGTGGATTATTTTGATGTAATGATATATGCCCCAGGAATTATGAATTATGCAATCGAAACCTCAATTGCTTAGATTGATTTCTGTTGTTTCTAAATTCTTTGTCAAACATAAACTAATTCAAAATATTTAAAGAATTATCTTGGTCAATGTTTTTCATTAAGTTTCTAAAAGAAAATATTTTTCAGTTCCCGGAATGTTTTCTTAATTACTTAAGAAAATTTTAATTTTTAAATTTATTAAATAGTTAATGTATCTAATTTGTGATCTATAATACAGTTACAATATATTAATTATTTTTTAAATTTAAAAAATAATTTATTTTTATAAATAAGATCGAAAATAGTATTATATACCTGATATACCTTTATCCATCTTAAAAATTATAACAATATCAATTATTAAAGTTTGCCAAGAAAGGAATTTATGAAATTAAAATGATATACCAATTACTCATTCATCCAAATATATATGAAAAACAATGAAAGTGTTTTATTTAAACTTAGTTTAAGATTTTTTATCTGAAATTTTTGTAGTTTATAATTGCCATCCCCAACTCGATTGCATTAATTCAATTCATATAAAAAAAATTAATTTCTCGTCTTAAATTGTTTACTTTTTGTTCTTATTCAAGCACATACTTCATGCCTAAAATAAAAGTAAGTGATTAATAAATATACACTTTGTTTTTAATAAAATAAAAAGTGTATTTGTTTTTATTTAATAATCTTTTTTTTGAAAATATTTAAAAATTAATTTTTATTAAATACATATTAATAATAATATTAATTTTAATCATTATATTTTTACCCCTTTGTATTTTTGAACACGTTTGAAATTTACTTTGATAGAATTTATGCATAAATAATATATCAAAAAAGTAAATAATAATTGTGGGAGACTCTTAAATTCCAAATCATCTTGTTAACAAATGTTAGGTATCATTAAATTTGCTCATTTGATAGTTATATAGAAACATAAATGTAAAGATGTGAGTTGTAACTTATTCATCTTGAATTTCAATCACTCAATTATTTTTTTTAAAAACCAATAAAACAACAAGATTGAGTCAATCCTAGGATTTTCAAGCACTATGCTTACATGAAAGTTAGAGATAATCAAATATAACACTCCAAATTCCTAAATTAAAAAAAAAAACAATTAATTAATCAACTTTGAATTTTGGGTTGGTATTAACTTTAAATCCCATTTTTTATAATATTAAAATTGAGAATAAAGTTTGGTGTAAGAATTAAAAACATTAGTACTAGTTTCTATGATTTCTTCTCTTCCCCTTTTGTTTTCTAGTGCATTGCTTTCATTGTAGCCCATACATGGTTAACAAGTCATGTAAAATGACAAAAGAGAAAGAAGACTTGAGAGAGGTGTAATGCTAGAAGAAGAAGCTATCTCATAAATGTGTTATTTCGTCGTTTAAGTTGATGCCATTTTAGTAGGGACCATAAAATGGAACACATTGAAAATGAAAGGAGCATCATATAATATGACAAGGGAATCCAACTATTGGTGTGCCTGTCCCATCCCACTAACGAAAAATTAAATCATCAAAATCAAACAACAAGCTATGGTCTATAAGAAAATCAATGCTATGGTTCACAGCTACTTTGTGTCGGAACTTGAAACCTCTTTTATTATTCTATGGTATATGCCCCACTACTACTAAAGTTTATTTTTTCAGCTCTCAATTTTTTTTCTCACTCAAAAGTGAATATCATTGTGTTTCCTGTTCTTCAAGAGACTAGAGAGGAAAGTGATGTATTGATATGAGTAGACATGTTGCTTTTATAAGCTCTATAGCTTACCTCTTAAGCTATGTAAGCTTTATTCATATAACCCAATGTTGAGTTATGTGATAAATTTGTCCCTTGATAATTTCACTTGCATATTTTAAGAGAAAATAGGATAAAAATTGTTTTTGCATGGTTTGCAAGAGCCATAAAAGATCGAAAAATAAACATCAAAATGGTTATACCAATTAGGTTAGCCTTCATCAATGCCGAACATACATGATTACGTCTCCTTTCATATATTTCACTGTCGAGGAAGTGTGATCACATCTTCTATTATAATATATTGAATGACCGTTCTCCTTCATCTTTCCTTTCATATATTTCACTGTCGAGGAAGTGTGATCACATCTTCTATTATAATATATTGAATGACCGTTCTCCTTCATCTTTATCGATCATTTGCATTGAACGTTGAAACACACGAAAACAACTCTGACTTAAAATATAAAATTTGTAGATTCATTCCCACTCCGCCTCTATTTATAGAAGCTTACTTCAACTCCCCCTCTCCGCCTTTGCTCCACCACTCAAGACCTCATTTCATTATATCCCTCTACAACTAGTTTCTTGTTACAGTAACAAAAATCTTATTCTTCCACACTAAAACACATCACTTTGTATATTTCAAAGATAATTTTTTTTGTTAATGGCTTTCACATCAAGTTCATGGTCATTAAAAAAATACATGCGTTGATTAACAATAATAATTTACTATTCAAACATTAGAGTATTTTTCAAGAACTTCACGGTTCTTAATATAAAATTAAAAAAAAAATTACTATAAATTCCTTGAAAAACAATATTTTAAAACAATATATAATTCAAATATATTAATTTTTTAACGAATCTGAAAATCAAATTTTTTTCTTATATTAAGAACCAAAGAGGGTATAATTCTGTTATAGTGTAAGAACAAAGCTACTGATACTTATCACCAAGGGCGTTCTATAATGCAAGAGCTATATTCATTCATAGGGTTTATTATAAAATATTTTCTCATGTAGTATATATGAGAGAAGCTTTTTTACAAGAAATAGTCCAAATATTGAAAAAAAAAACTACGTTTATTCAAATATAAAAAGTTGCTTTGTGGATATTTCCCACTATTGTACTGTGTATATGAAAACGCAATATTTTGGTGTAAGAAAGTGATATATTTCAGTAATACAAATGTATAGGGCATAATATAAAGAAACCCCAAAAAGGTGCATAAGGAAAAGATTGAGAAGAATGAAAGGAGAAAAGAGCAAACCAAATTAACACAGAGTATTGTAAAACCATTCTAGCGGCTCAATAGACTTAATAATAAACAGCTCCTTTGTTTCTCTTAGGGGTTTGGGTATTTTACTGATAGTACATAAGGTTCTGGGCGGCGGTAACATTAGGGAATCCTGCACCATACCCAGCTCCAAGGGCACCCATTCCCATGGCTGCATGCTTTAGGGCATGCTGGTTTTGCTGTTGCAGAAGGGGGTGTGCACCATTCATTTTGCTCAAAGCCATCTGGCGTTCATACGCTGCAAGACCGGCAAGTGAAAAACCTGGCACTGGTACATGCGGAGAAGCTGGTGGGGGAAGAGGAGTAGAGGCTGTTCCTGGAGGAGTTGGCTTGCTACCCCATGAGCACTGCAAAATAACAATTAATAAGATCAGATAACAAGTATAATAACATTTTTCTAGAGGCTTTGATTATTATGAAGGTTATTATATATGGTCGATGATATGATGTTAAGATCTTTGTTAATAAGGCGTTTACCTTGATAGGTTTACCGAACAGAAACCGAGCATTACCCATCTGTATAGCAAGAGCTGCTTCACCATGGGTACTGTATCTCACAAACCCAAAACCTTTATCCCGTTGCACCCTAACATCTTCAATAGTTCCAACACCGAGGGCATGAAAATGATGATGGAGATCGACAGAAGTAACCTGCAATTAATTAACAGAACATGAGAACACAAGGCAATTTTAGAACAAACTGAATACTCACAGAAATCAGGATTGCATGTTATAAATAACTTGTAAATCTAGGCTCTGTTTATTTCATGAAAATATTTTCCTTTTCATTTTTCTAAATTGTGTTAATTTTACTTACTAATAATAAGATGATAGACTAATGAAGCACGCAATTGTGTGCGCTTTTTGGAAACAATGAAAGTGTCAAAATTTTGTTTCCATTATTTTCAGAAATGCATCACCCCAAACTAACATTTCATCTTCTCTCTATCACAATGGTTCACTTTAAAAGTCTCACATCTTATAAGCAAGTTAAAATGGACACATTTAGAATATGAAAATAGAAAATGTTTAAACAGAAAATGTCAGAAAACAATCTTAATCCTTGCCTCTGGAGCAAGATTGCCAACATAAACAGTGGTGTATTGGGGATTCTTCTCAGGACCATCATCACCGGTAATTTCTTGCCGTTCTTCTACAAAAAGTAAAAGCCAACCAAGAATTGAAGATTATTCACTAAGCAAAACAATCAAGCAACTCTTACAATAAATAGTTAGATAAAATAAAATATCTACATGCAAGAAAAATGTCAACCATAATGGAGATATTAAAACTAACCATACTATTGTATCAACATTAGCTAGCTTTAAAAGCTATTATTTTGATAAACCCCGCTAAAAAATCATCTGAAGGCTGAAGCCAACTTCCATATTTGATATCAACAGAAAAGCGTAAAATTTACTTTCAATTGGAATATTTTTATAAACAATGAGGCGGTAACAGATTCATTAGATATCACTGTATAGTTTACAGGTGTTTTAAAAAAAAAAAAAAAAGCAATTGGAACTAGAATCCAATGACCTCTAAAACCAACTGCATACCACAAAAAATAAAGAAAAATTAAAACACCCCTAAAGAAATCTCAGCGTGGGATAAACCTGTGATCTCCCCAGAAACTCCACTAGTTAACTCCACAACAGCTTTGCAATCTGAACTCTGATTTTCATCATTGGTATTAGCTCCTTTTGTGGCCCAGTTACAACGAATTTGTCTACTGCCAAGCCATTTACCTGATGTGTCAGAGAAAAACATTAAAAATTTCAGTTAACTGAAGCACTATATGTAATTAAATCAGCTCTGGTACCAAGATGTAACCCCTAAAATCTACATTAAGGCATTACTAAAGTCCTTCAAATTTAACATAAGAATTTCATAACATTAACTAAAACACAAGTAAAATCCACAAAGTCTACAAATACAATGATAGATTATAATTCATAAACCAAATTGACTCTTAAAAGAAACTCCCTAAACTACGACACATGACATGATCCGGTAATTGACTTGGCTTGACATTGGATCGCTGATGAGTAAATGCGAATACTCCTCAGTTTTCCAATGTTAATGGACACCTGAAAATATCTTAAATTGTTTTACTATATTCTATGTTATTGAGCTTTATAAAAATCACAATGTTTGGGTGTTAAAAATTAGTCACACGTTAATTCAATGAGCAAAACATCCAATTAGAATTATCGCTAATTTACTGCTACTGGTGAGTTGATGACTTGAATACCAAATATTTAGTGTCCAATACAACTGATTAAAGTGTTTATATGATACTTCAGTATAAACAACAAAAGTAAGAGCAAACAGTCAGATCACCCTAGTATACATAACGTGTATGTTAATTTTCAGATTCCAACTAAAACAAGAAATTCGTTTAGAAATTGCAGAAGATATGGATTATACTGTCTTTAAAAAATCACATCTTAAGAGTTGAAAAAATATAAATTATAAGTATTATTACTACATCACATATCTCACTTTGAATATGTTGAAAATGAAAATCTAGCAATTACAAGATAAAAATATCTTACCAGTTAACTCGTTTATGGCACTTTGGGCTTCCTGATAAATTACATACAAAACAAAGTCACCCAACCATTAGCATGGCTAGCACACAGAAATAACCGAAGGCAGAAAGATAACAAATGTAAAACTGAAGATTTCATTCATGCCTGCTGATTTCGAAAAGAAACAAATCCAAATCCCCTGGATCGGCCTGTCTTCTGATCCCACATTACCCTTGCATCTCTGCAATAAACAGCTCATAACATAAGTGTCATGATATTAATGAGTGAATTGATTTCAGACACACATTCAAGTGTAAGTATTTCTAGCAAAATATCACCTTAGTAAACCATGTCAAGATACAAATAGAAGAAAAAAAATCAACAACAACAACCTTATCCCACTAAATGGAATCCGAACAAATAGAAAAAAGAAAAGAAAAAATATAAAGGGTGTATAAAACTTACGAGCAACTAGAATACACAGAGAAGCAAGCATACAGAGTTGCATCTGTAACCTCGGGACTAAGGTCACCAACAAAAATATGAAAGTGTCCTAAATCCAAATGAATAGTGAAGGTAAATTTGTGATGCACAAGATGTGTGCAAAATTAACTCCAGGAGTACAAAGTCGGCAGAAATATAACCTGAAGTGTCTTCTCTCTGGCCACGAGCATAAGCCCAGTTAACTTTAATAGCCTGTCCAAAACTGCAGACAGCATGTTAAAACTTAAAACCATAAACTAACAAAAGTTGTTCTATTGACTAAAATTATATTACACATACATATTCCTTCCGTTGAGAGTAACAATAGCAATAGCAGCTGAACTGCGATCAAAGTAGTCGACGAATCCATATGATGACTGCAGATGACAATATAAAGCAGATCATCATGTTAGAAATAACAACAGAAAAACTGCATCACATGAAAAAACCTATATGGCCAACTGTCTAGTGAAATATTTGTTGGTGTGTACTCCCTCTGTCTTATTATAAATGCCCATTTCGCAACATTTATACACCTCAAACTATCTATCCCTTTAGAATGTCAATACAACAACAACCAAGCCTTATCCCACTAAGTGGGAGTGGCTACATGGATCAACTTTTGTCATAATGTTCTATTTAGAAAGTTGATCCATGTCAAAGAGATTCGACAAAGTTTTACATTAACTGTCGACTGCCTAACACAACCCTCTCCTTTTATCCGAGCTTGGACCGGCTATGCTTAGCAACCAGTACAACATTTATTAATTATTTTTACTAATATACTCTTATTTATTATATTTCAACGCACCTAACAAATTAAAATAATGATAAATTTCATTTACTTAAATATACCATAAGTGTCTAAAACTCAAATGGGGAACTTTTCTTTTTGATAAGTCTCAAAGGGGCACTTAAAATGAGACAAAGGGAGTAAATAATTGGTTCTTAACATAGCTAACAAAAATAGTTAACTTTTGTAACTTTATCAATCCATCAATTTAATTTCTGTAAGGTGAGATCGTTATCAAGAAAACTAACCTTCTCTTTTCGAATAAGCTTGCAACCTTCAAGCGCGCCAGCACTTGAAAAAAGCTCTTGAAGAAGTGGTTCTGAAACCTGAGGATGAATGTTGCCTACATAACTGCATTTCTTAAAAAGTTATTAGATATACAAAACACAAAACACAAAAGCAAAAAACAAAAAACTACATAAAGGAAACTGAATCCACTGACTACAAAAAGTAGAACCCAATTGAAAAAGCAAGAACGAATTATGCTAAAGGTTATCTTATAGATTAAAATAAAACTGGGTAAAAATCACTAGATCAGAAAAAAAAAAAAAAAAAAACAAAGAAATTTATTCTAAAAAAAGTAAAATAAAAAAGTCTATTAACACTCACACACTGCGGCATGTACTCGAATCAAAGCCAGGAGGCAGATTTCCACTCAAGATAGGCTCTATCTGCAAAATAAAAATGTAAAAAAACCAAAAAAAAAATCCTAACATTATGATTTCTCCTCTCTACTAATCTAATCAAACAAAATTCAACAAAACAAAAAATACCTAAGATTTAATTAAATTCAAGCATACAACAAAATTACAGAGTAATTTACCTATAAAATTGTTTTTAACGCGATGAACACTTACGATCGAGCAAATAGCAAATAATTGAAGTCAAAACAGTAATCATAACAATAATTGAATAATTGATTATGAAAAAATAAGGCAGAAAAACCAGCAATAAGTACCTGAGGAGGAGTGATAAGAGCTGGGTGATGGTAGAGAGAGTGTTGCATAATTGGATTCTGTCTTAGCTTTTGTGGTAGCATCTTCGGTTTCTAGGGTTAGGGTTGCAGAGGTAAGAGAAGCAAAGGAGAGTCAAAATTGAAATAGATGAGAAAAGAAAAGAAGAAGAAAAGGGGAAAGAAAAAAAAAGAAAAGAAAAAAAAAAGAAAAAAGAAAAAACCCTCGAAAGAGAGGGTGAAGAAGAAATGACAGACAATGGAAAGAAGATGAAGCTGATATATACTGGATTGTGTTAGGGGGAGAGTTTTAGAGTCAGAGTTTGGCTTTAATATAGTACTAGTATTTCTCCAAGTAATTAGTGAAGTTCTTTGAAAAAATCATAAAAAATGAAATTAAAAATGGGAAACACGGAAAGTGATATCTTACTATCGGGACCACAGATAGAGTTGTTTCGGTGAGCCTAACTACATACTAGGCTTTGGATTTGAACGGGCCTTATGTTGATTTCTAACATGGGAGCCATTTAAATTGAAACCTCCTACTTGAATATGACACTTTCTATTTTGAACGAATTTATCTTTTTTTTTTTGAAAAATTTTTGAAAATTATGAAATTAACGGTATTATATCAGAAATTTTGTGATCATACTGAAAATTTGAAAATTTTACAATGTTTTATCGTTCTTGTGAGATATATAGCGGAAATTCTAAAATTTATGGTAGAATTATATCGAAAATTTTAAAAAATTTGGTAGAGTTATACAGTAAAATATAAAGTTTACGTATATTGTCCCAAACTTCTAGAAGTTTAAAAAATTTAAAATTTTCGGTATGAACCCAGAATTTTCCAAAAATATATAATTTTAATGTTTTTGACACAGTAGCTTACACAAATGGTTTCTTAAGAAATTCATCACATATAATAGATATATATTGTCCACAAGATTACATAGAAAATTAGGATGACTTCATAACTTCATTATCTCAGTGCCTAATTCGTTCTACATATGTTGATTCTCATACTTTTGCATCTTCAGTACAGTTCTGTCTCTAACGGACAGTGACGGGAAATAATGGACTATTAGGTTTCAAATTTACCTGAACCCAATGATTGTTGTTGACAAAGCCAAAACAATAATTTTATGTCTGCTCGTATTCGTATACATAGGTGGAGTTATGGTAAGAGAGAAAAAGGTAATGTTAAGTCTCTGTGACAGGGAGACAAATACGACATTACCTATATGCAATAAGGTAACCCATATCAGGAATCGTCATCCATTTTTCTTGACCCTACACACCCAAGTGTTCTACTTTTAAGGAATTCCTAACTTTAGAGACAGTGTCATATAACAAATTGGAAAATAATTTAGGGTGTTGACGAACTTGAGTATCTAACTACGTCTGAACCAATGACCATGACTCTTTGTCCTATCAAACTAAAGTTGCAATAGCTCAAAAACCACAATTTTCATCGTTGCCCACATCAACAATGTCATCAATGTATGGATGCAAGAAACTAAAAAATTGAGACAAGTAAATATGCCTCGAAGATGCAATGGACGATTGACTTTGACCCGACATACTTGAAGATTGGTTTCGTGCATGACATATTTGTAGTTTGACTCCCTTGTGAGCCCTCACTATAATACCACTATGAAGGATCACGGTGCATGTCACTCTCTTCACCCTTTTTACTATTTTTAACTCCCTTCTTTGGCTTGCACTTCACCGGCGGTAGATACGTACAAGTTGTGGATGGATGTGTTAGTTCTCGAACCTTTTTCTTTAACACCCCATGACCTACAACATCCAAAGAATTGAAACATGACTTCAACTCTTCACATTCTACTTTTAAATCCAACTATGTACCATTATCGTCATGATCGTTAGCATGTTCTTCAATGTGTAATTTCTTCCAAAAAAACATGAATTGGTTCTAAAGGAACAGGCAAGCCTTGTATTTTAACTCTCAAAAACTAGGATACACTAAGTCAATTTTAGATTATTCAATGTTTACTCAAGAAAAGGACAATCACATCACTATCATACTAATATATATTGATTACATTATACTATACAAAACCTCCTTGGCTGAATTTGACAACATCAAATGTATTTTTGGCAACTATTTAAAATCAAGGACATAGGAACCTTGAATACGTTTTTGGTCTTTAGGTGACACACTCAAAGGAAGACAATGTTAATGCATAAATAAAGTATTGTTTGGATCTAATGAATGATACATGACTATTGGGATTAAAACCTGTTGTAACCTTTTTTGAATTCTTCAAAGAAATTGCATCAAGATGAAAGTGAACTTTTTGAAGACATTACTTAATGTAAAAGTTTCATTGGAAAACTACTAAACTTAAATAACACAAAGCCATATGTAACCTTTGATATTCAACAATTAAACAATAGAAATCAGATACATTAATTGGATAATGTACCAAAGTTCCTTGGATAATGTGCAAGCAAGATGATGCTCCTGATCGTGTTGTAAGTTCGGCCGAATTGTTCGATACATTCTTTTATGCCTCCAAAGATTTCATCTTCTAATTTCAACGTTAAACATTGTATTGTATTGATTAACACTTGCAATGACTTCTATTGTGATTTTTTCTCTCCGAATAAGGCTTATAAACCAAAGGTGTGGACAAAAGGTTGGACCGACTGGTATGAATGCGTTGTTTCTAATTTCTTATGGCGTGGCTGACTTCTGTCTTTCATCGTTCCCAATACCGTCAAGCATGCTTTTTTGTTCTACTCTTGCGGTATGTTTCTAGTGTCATCATTGGTGCAGTCTGCACTAGTTTGTTCTGGTATTGTACTAGGCTTCACTCTTTTATTTGTTTGGTAATGATTCAAAATTGTTTATTTGTGTTGTAGATAGAGGAAGACTTGCTATGTGCTTATTTTGTGATGCATATGGGCACTTCAGTAATAATAACAGCTGATTATTATAATTATCTTTTTTTTACAAGACACTGTTATAAGTTTAGTGAATAATGTTTTTCTGAGAATGTTTAACACCATAACGCATCTCCTAAAGTAATAGCTTAAAGGATCTAATTATTTTAACATGACCCATGAAGTATTTAATTTGACATAAAAATGTTGACTGTTTTGGGCCATAAGTTATTTAATGTTTAAAGGTGTTCTAACACAACATTTTTGATTTAGATGTGTCATTGGCTCAATTGAGGGTATAATGCTTTTACAAGTTGCACATGTTACTAAGCTTTTATGTATTAATTTGCAGATTCTTCTGGGAGAACGAGAAGGTCCGATTAGATTACCGACCGATGCATTTGAATACATTGGATGATGATGTTGAGTACATTTATATAGTATTAATGAATGTCTAGGCATATTGTTACCACTTGTGTGCATAAGAAAAAAGATTCAATACAAATGTCTTTACATGTATGATTTTAGTTTGATAGTAATTGTTGCATTTGTCATCGATGTTAACTAATTTCACAGCATCTTGAAATAATGCTCTCTATAATGTAGAAGAGAATAATAGAAAAATAATTTTGTCATCCTATTGTATATTGGTTAGTTGTTACTTGTACTTGTGTACACTATATGTTAAGTTATGCATCTTTTAGGGAACCCGTATAATTTTTATGTACCATTTTGAAACAATTTTCTTGGAACACTTCCTATTGCCTATTTCAACAATTCTTTCTATTTTGTTGGTTCTGTTATAAGAACTTACTGTTTTAATGGTTAGTGATTGTTGACCCAATAGGAATGAATGTTATGTGATATCTAAAGGGAAGAAAGAATGATGTAGTTGTCGTTATTGGTGATAGTGATATGAAAGTTGGTCAACCTTATGAAGCTATGAACAATGCGGGATATCTTGATTATGACATGATTGTTATTTTGAATGAACAAACAAGTTTTTCTACCAACTGCTACCCTTTATGGACCTGCAGCACCTGTAGGAGCTTTTAGTAGTGCACTTAGTCGATTACAATCAAACAAACCTCTTAGAGAATTAAGAGAGGTTGCCATGGTGAGTAATAATATACCTGATGAGTTTTCTCATATGTAGCCACTCAATTATACTGAAGCTTCTTATTTATAGGGACTAACAAAACAAATTGGAGGCCCTATGCATGAATTGGTTGTGAAAGTTGACGAGTATGCTCATGGTATGATTAGTGGTTCTGGATCAACACTTTTTGAAGACATTTGATTTTACGATATTAGTCTTGTTGATGGTCATAACTTTGATGATTTTGCTACCATTTTCAGAGAAGTCAAAAGTACTAATAGTATTGGTTCTATATTGATTCATGTTGTCACCAAAAAAGGTAGTGGATATCCATTTGCAGAGAAAGCGGATGACAAACACCATGGTAATGTTGCAACCAGGTTCATGTTTAATTGGCTTCCTCAATATGATGGCTCAATCCTCAATCCTCAATCCATATTTAAGCAAGTTCATGTCTTGTCCTCTTGCAATCCTCTTTCTAATCCTCCAATGTTCGATGATTGTTGATATCAAATATGCGTAACATTTTATAAATATTTGTATATATTAAAAACTTTATTGTAAGGGAAAGAAAGATATTGTCGAGAGGACAAAGATTAGGATCTTTTTTGTAAGATTTCTATGTTCAATGGTATTAATTATGGGTTGTTTAATGTTAGAAACAATTGTATGTTAATATCCATAAGTGATGATGTTGTGATACTATAATTACAATACAGTGTTGTTTTACACAATGTTGTAATTTGGCATGTAATATGAAGATGACACCCCAAATTCAATATTGAACTTTTTTTTAATCATTTATTTTGTTACAGTTTTTAATTTTTGTTTGGCGCAGGTGGTGTAACTTGTATCAATGTATTGGTGCCGCTGCAGGATGATAATTTAAGCATATTACGAATCTAGCTGCTATAGCAATCTAGCAGTTTCAAGACTGATTTTTCTTTGTATCTCATTTGAGTGTATGTAATGAAATTGAAATATGTTGGTATGGGTCTTGGTGTAGCTTGGGGATTGTTTTGTGTAGATGATATTTGATATAATTGTTCCATTTATGGTTTTTAAAATTGGTGTC